GGGACGGGGGCCACAGTAGACTCCTGCAGACACCCACGAGGGCCTGGGGTTTCAGAAATGAGCCCCTGTCCCCGGTCCTCGCTCTGGCCCCACCCCCCTTGTGCACGACCACCTTGCCCACCTTGTGCATGACGACCTTGCGCTGGCCCGGCTCCGCCACATCAATCATCTTCTGGACCACGTAGTTGGCATACTGGTCCTTCATCATGGTGTATAAGGCACTGTGTGGACCGTCGCTCATGGTGCACACCTCGTCGATGAGCACGGCACGCTCGGTACGTGAGGCGTGAGTGACACACTTCTCCACGACGTTGCTGTAATGAGGAGGGTCAGGGACAAGTCTCAGGAGAAGGGCCCATGGGCTCTGCTTGTCTCACCTCCGCCCTGACTCGGGATGAGCAGCAAGAGAAGGCAGCATGTGTGGGAAGTTAATGTCCTTCCGCTCAGCTCTCCAAGACCCACCTCGCCACAGCTGGCTTCCACTGGGCATCCCGGCAGAGGACAGACCCTCTAACAGGTGAGGGTGATGGGCCTGCAGAAGGGAGACCTTACCACGTGGCTGGCAGGCCTAATCGGGCAGCCCAGCTGGGAAATGAGCATTATCTCCACACCAATCAGAATCTACCAGTTCTTCCCTCTCCGCTGAGCTAAGGCCTGGAACAAACCTTCCTTGTATGTCTCCATACTCCCGAGCAGAAGGGCAGGCCCCAACAGAGGGTCTAAGACTTGGTCCTGGATTCCCACATAGCTGGCCGTGGTGTGAGTCCTGAACCTAGCAGCTTGCTTTCTCTCTCTCCTTCTCTCTCTCTCTGGTCAAACTGAAGAAGAATAATTAATAAATGAAATTGAATAAATAATTATTTTTTTTAATTATTATTTATTTTATTTATTCATTCATTTATTTTAAGTTGACCAGAGAGAGACACACACACACACACACACAGAGAGAGAGAGAGAGAGAGAGAGAGAGAGAGGGTGAGAAAGCAAGCCACCAGGTCTGGGACTCGAACTGTGGTCGGCCAGAGGGAGTGTCCAGTGCCTTAACCACCACGCCACCTGCTGGCCCCCAAATAAATAATTCTTTAAAATTAAAAAAAAAAAAAAGGACTTGGTGAAGAAGCACACAAGCTGGGTTAGAGCGCGTGCTCAGGCGCTGCCTCCCCAGGACCTCGGGAGGGGAGCGAGAAGAGCCCTCAGGTCCGCACTCCCGAGCACTTCACAACGTGCCACCTCTGCAGAGGAACACACGGGGTTCGGCCTGCAGGGGCCAGTCTCAGCACCCGGCGCTGCAGAGGCTGAGCTGGTGGACAGCTGCTCGCTGAGCGCAGCACCTCTGCTGCCCACTTCTGTGGACGAAGCTGTGGTGTCAGCACAGCACATCATGTGCATCCGCAGTCCCGGCAGAGGAGCCCTGGTGGACGGTAACTGCAGGCGGGTCACAGGCCCCCTGCTAGGAAGGAACTTCAGAACCCACACGTGGCTACTGCAGCGCACCCTCTGCGGGTAGCTCTGAACGACGGCCACTTACCACTGTCTGGAGCCCGGCCGTGCCTGCTCTGTGGGGCCCCTCTGCCCTACAGCTAAAGGGCGTGGCTCAACAGCCTCCCTTACACACCAAGGACACACATGCTTTCTGGGGCCGTGCCTTTCACCTTACCCTTGTCTTCAGAGGCTGAGAAAGGATGTGCCTGGGAGCCTGAGCCAGGGAGGACTCGGGCAGGGCTGCGGCCCGCCTTCCTCCCAGGCCGCCCTCGTGAGCAGGCTGCCCCAGTCACCACCACCAAAATATGCCCTGTTCCAGACGTTCCTTCAGTCTCTTCTCTTTCGTAAAGAATTATTTTATATTTTATTAATTCATTCATTCATTTTCATTTGACCAGAGAGAGAGTGGGAAAATGAGAAATCAAACCACCAGGTCCAAGACTCGAACCGTGGTCAGCCATGTGGGAGTGAACAGCGCCTCAACCACCACGCCACCTGTTGTCCCCAGTCTTTCTTCTTCTTTATGTGCGGAAGATCTAGAAGGCCAAGTCTACTGAAGACAAGAGCGTCTCCCTCTGACAGCAACAGAGGATGGCGCCTCCCCGCCTCCTGCCCAGAACTGTGCGACCCACAGGCAGGGTGGCGGAGGGCGCCATGGAAGCCTGCCGCCCGGAAGTCACGGGCTGACACACCGGCACTTCTCTTCTTCAGGGCTAGATGGCCCATGCACTTGACAGAAACGGGAGCGACTACTGCTAGGCTACTCGGAGAGCATGAAGGCCCACCATCCGAACACGCGGGGCCTCGGCACTCTCAGGCCTGCAGGCTGTGCCAAGCCTCCTTCCCTGCAAGTGGTCGGGAAGGGGAGGACAGGCTGCCAGCCAGGCCAGAGGCAGCACCCTCGTTCTGGTGGTGCGTGGGCGGGCTCAGCCTGCCCTGAGCACGGACTCACCCTCTGGGAAAGCAAGCATGTGGTCTTCTGCCACCCCGCGATCCCACCCTGAGCTGGTCAAAGGCCCCCAAGCTAGCCGTGACTGGCAGTTTCGTCTGTGAAGGTCTCTCCTAACAGACATGTGTACGGAGTTGGAGAGAGCAAATGAGACCTGACAGGTACCTACAACGTCCTCGACATTAACACCGCTCGCGCGTGCACACACACACACGCACTCACTCTCACTCTCTCTATTTGCTAGAGGACAGGTGCACTCACTGGAGACAGAGACACAGAAAGTGAGAAATCATCGCCCCAAGGGAGGAGGGGAGTCCACGCCACAATCCCTTCTCCTCCATCTTCCTTTTGGGATTTTGGACATAGGTGCCCAGCATGTTTTCCAAGCCTCCAGGTCCAGGACTTGAACACACAGTCAGCCATGTGGGATCCAGTCACTCTAACCACTGTACCACCAGCCAGCCCCAGAATGCTCTTTCCCATTTGCAGAGTCATGAACTTGGCTGCAGGGAAACTGTAGCCTTGCCCACACAGCAGGTGGGCAGCAGAACAGAAATCACAGATCACTCTCTCCAGCCTGGGTTAGGCTGCTTCAAATCTGGGTCAGCCAGATATCTGGGGATCTTCAATTAGGCTTCTCCACCCTTAGGTCTCTCCCTTTCTAGGATTCGTCATTGTCATGGTCTCCCTAAACTCTGTCCTCTGAGAACACTGAGAATTTTCTACCCTAGTTTTAGCCACCCAACATGACACCACCAAGAAGTGCCCAAATACTGAAAGCCAGTGCAAGCAGACACTGTGCCCGTGTGGTTGCCTTCCTGGTACCAGCAACTGCCTGCCTAGCACCCACCTGCTCCCAGACACTCCTGCTGCCTCTGGTTCTCGATCCTGCCCACGGTCAGGAGGTGTGGCCAGTGGGGGACAGGCCCGCAGCAGCTACTCGGCCCTCACTGAGCCACAAAGCTCTCAGGGGATTCATTCGTATGCTGCACCCAAGGGTAAGAGACACTCTGAACAAAAAAGTGAGCAGGAGGGTGATCCCCAGAAGAAACCCAGGAGGTGGACCTCAGCTTCCCTAGTACTGGCAGATGTCCCCGACCCCCAAAGAGGAAGTCCCACAAGATGACGCTGACATGGCAGGCACTGATATACTGGTACTTTCATTTTTTTCTCTTTTCTTTTTAGCACTAGAGGGCTCGAGCACTGGACAGAGAGACAGCAGGCTGGAGAGGAAGCAAAAGCCCCCATGGGGTGTGGTCACGACACAATCCACACTCCCTTCTCCATTTCTCCATCCTACTGGGATTCTGGGCACACACGCACCCAGCATTTTTCAAGCTGCCAAGACTGGTATTCAAACCACCACTGACCATGTAGGATCTGGCTATGGGGGTTGGCCCTTTTCTCTTGTTTTCTATGCTGCAATGTTGCAAGATGTCACAAATTAAACTTTTTAAAACAAATAAAACCAGAGAAGAAAGTATTGCAGATTTTGTTAAACTATATATACTTCGAGAAAATAAATATTAAATCAACTTTAAAAAAAAAAAAGATGAGAAGAATGACAATTCATTCTCTCTACAGCTGCAATACTACTTAATCTTCTGTTTTGGAAAAAGTTCCCATAAGTCAAAACACATACATACCTTGCAAATTTGTGCTGACTCAATACAAGTACATTGCCTCGGATTTCTGCTACAATTTTGCTTTTATCCTCAGGACGACCATGCTCCAATACGTGCTGGATTACGTAATTTCCGTACTGATCCTGTGTGAGAGGGGCAGGAATTAAGGTGATATAAAACCCAGCTCTGCAGGTCCCCTCAGTCCTTGCTCCCGAGTATCACCTACCTTATGGTTCTCACAGCATGCGAGGGCCTATCTGAGTACTAATGAACACCTAAAACTTGTTTAAGAGTATAGGTTGTTTTCCTAATCATTAAAGTAACAGGAACACTATATTACTAGACAATGTAATATATACATCTCTGTGTGTGTGTGTGTGTGTGTGTGTGTGTGTACATAGACACATGTATGTATGCATGCCCAAAGTTCTTACTGAGTTCTTCATAAATTACTTAGTACAAACAAACAGGGCTGGCTCTGTGGTGCCACGGTAATGCACTGCTCATGAGAAGCTGGACTGCATGTCACGACCAGTTCAAATCCCCAGCAAGGTATCCTGAAACACACCAGCAGGCGCCCGCGAGTCAACAAGCTGCTGAACTGGGGGAAGGGCTGTGGCAGGACCATATCCTGCAGAGGGCGCTCTCCTTCCCCTCTCTCACTCTCATGTACACATGTATAAGCTCAATCATGAACGAAGAAAACAAGTTTAAGAAAACAGTAGGACGAAATTCATTTTTTAAAAAGGTGGAAGGGAGGGTTATAGGAATAGTTATTTTTCTCAAATAGAAATAACACAAAAGGCTCACTGACCCTAATTCAAAGAAAAGCTAGAAACATCTGTGTCCAACAAAACAAGCATACCCAATTAATCAGTGGTAGTTTAGCAAGGAAAGTATTAAGGCCAGACAGAAGGGCCAGCTCACGGCATGCTGGTTAAGGCAGCTGGATCCCACATAGCTGATCATGGGATCTGAGTCCTGGACCAGGCAGCTTTAGAAACACACCAGGTGTGTGTGCATGCATGCCCAACATCCTGAAAGGAGAGAGAGGGAGAAAAGGGACTGCAATGTGACCACTCTTTGGGGTGGTGTTGGGGCAGGGCAAGGGTGGGGTGCCGCTTTTTTACATTCTCTCTGGCGAGTGCATGTGCCTTCTGACAAATTTTTTAAAAAGAAAAAAAGAAAAAGAATAAGAAATTAATCTATTAGTTCCCTTGATAATGATAAACTTGGACAGAGAGGGAATTTTTTTAAATTAAAAAGTCTAACTTTATTGAATATAGGCATGGATGGATTTCATTACTTTAGCTTTATGGTTATTACTTTTATAAGCCCTCTGTCCCATAGCAAAACCTTCTAACTGGTATATACAAAAATGTTTATCTATTCTTGTCAAGTTTCTATTTAGTTTCAGTTCTATAGGTGCATAAACAAATATATTTAAATACACAGGATCATCTATAACTGAATTACTGGTACTTGTGAATGCGTTGCAGCTGGTAGTAAGAAATCAATTTCCAAGGACAAGGACAAACTTCTATTTTATGCAAAAATTCAAGTGTTATACTTTCTTGTTCTTACACTAGAATTGATGTCACTCTCTTAGCTGAACAAAAATACATAGCATTTTCATTATTTCAAATGATGCAATATAATCCTTTTTTTGAACAAAATGGTCAGGATGCTAATGAAACCATCTTTGGAGGAAGTGTTTAATAAGCATACTTTAATAAACCCTCCAGGAGGGCATGGAGGATCCGCTGTCTTTACAGAGAGGGCCGTGCATGGAGGATCCGCTGTCTTTACAGAGAGGGCCGTGCATGGAGGATCCGCTGTCTTTACAGAGAGGGCCGTGCATGGAGGATCCGCTGTCTTTACAGAGAGGGCCGTGCATGGAGGATCCGCTGTCTTTACAGAGAGGGCCGTGCATGGAGGATCCGCTGTCTTTACAGAGAGGGCCGTGCATGGAGGATCCGCTGTCTTTACAGAGAGGGCCGTGTAAGCAGCTATCTGTCAGTTTCTATGTGCTGCTCACCGACATTTCCTTATTGAAAGCACCAGAATTCCCACATCACAGTTCCTGAAAGGACTTTAAGTCTCAGAATTCTGGTTCTCCTGGCCGCCATCTGGTGGGAGCGAAACCACCGCCCGGCTCGAAGCAGCAGCTGCCGAGGTTTCTCTGGCCAGTGCCGCTTCCACCCATCTACAAGCTCGGGGAATATCTTTGCAAACCTCTTCAAGGGCCTTTGTGGCAAAAAAGAAATGTGCATCCTCATGGTCGGCCTGGATGCGACAGGGGAGACGACGATTCTGCACAAACTGAAGCTGGGTGAGATTGTGGCTACCATTCCCACCCCAGGTCTCAATGTGGAGACTGTAGAGGATAAGAACATCAGCTTCACTGTGTGGGACGTGGGTGGCCAGGACAAGATCCGGCCTCTGCGGCGCCACTATTTCCAGAATACACAAGGCTTGATCGTTGTGGTGGACAGCAATGACAGAGAGCGTGTGAAGGAGGCCCGCGAGGAGCTCATGAGGATGCTGTCCTCCTTGTGTTTGCCAATAAGCAAGACCTTCCTAATGCCATGAGTGCGGCCAAAATCACAGACAAGCTGGGGCTGCACTCTCTGCGCCACAGGAACTGGTACATTCAGGCCCCCTGCGCCACCAGTGGGGACTGGATTGGCTGTCCAATCAGCTGCAGAACCAGAAGTTTATGCAATATTACTCAGCTTTTTCTATTGTAAAAAGAAAAATCAGCTCCCTGTTTAGTGCTGAGAAGGGATGTGGGCACATGGGCTCCTGGCCTCCAGGAGCCTTTGTGTTAGAGCCAGAAGCACCTCCTGGCTTTAGATTTGTGCTGAGATCCGTTTCAGTGGTTGGTTTTTAACCCAAACTCGGTGCATTGTTCAAAATAGTTAAAAATACAAGATAAGGAGAACACTTGAACACACAGAAGGGAGACTATACCTAGTGTAGGTTTTGCAGTAACGGCCTGAAAACTAGTCCATCAGATCATCTGTTCCCCTTTGGGAACATGAGAGACAGTGACAAAACTGCGATCAATTCTGCACGGTCACGATAGAGATCCCTGTGACTCGCTTGTCTTTGGGCCACCGTGTACTCTATAGCATTATGCTTGTACTTGTGCTCACGCAGTCATCTAGGGGACAGGCTGGGAGGCCACAGCATCCTGACTCTTCTCTCCCCAGGCTAGGCCCCATGGCCCTATAGGAGGGGTCTATGCGGCCAGCCACGGCCATCTCAGGGGACACAGGGCCTGGCCTTTCCCTTGGTCAGCGTGTGGCCAGAACGGGAGCCCCTGCGGTCCCCAGCACTCACCTGCACGCTTGCTCAGACGTTGGCGGGATAGATGGGGTCTCACCAGCAGGAGTATGTGCAAGCCGGGAGGGTCGGTCCATTCTAGAACCAAGCCCCTCTGGAGCACCCCCTCTCCATGTGTGAAGTAGCTTTCTCTCCCCCAGCCTGCAAGGGTCCGATTTGCCATCGAAAAAGACAACCTCTACTTTTTTTTTTTTTTTTTTTTTTTTGTATTATAAAACACTGAAGAAGTTGGAGCTGTTAAATTTATCTTGGGGAAAACCTCAGAACTGGTTTATTTGGTGTCATGGAACCTCTTAACTGCTTTCAATACACAATTAGTAATCAAAAAAGAAAAAGAAGAATTCTGGTTCTCCTTTGGCTTGCTTCTCTCTCGATTCCACCCAGGCTTTATTACTGGTTTGCTCCCTATCATCATCTCCATCTTCATAAATTTTCTTTAGAACGTCATCAGTCCCTCACCAAGATCTGTGTCAGTGTCGTAGGAAGGCTTCTCTCTCTCTTTGCACTCTTTTTCAGCCTGGGTCAGTAGTCCCATCGTGCGCTTTCTGCTTTCTTTCTACATAATATGAGAACTACGTCATCTTCACTTTTTTCGAACTGCCTTCCACAGAGATGGGTTTCAGGATTGTTCACCATCATGGAGTGACTCTTGCCATTTTGGTTCTGTACCAAAAGATCAAAGGACCTCTCTGTGAAATGCACCTGCATGTTCTCAGCAGGGACCTGATGAACTCCAGTTAAGGCCATGTCGGTTTTCACAAACTGATCAGACTGACCCATCCATAATGACTGATTTCACTGTGTATCCTGTTGTAATGGCAAAACCACGGCAGCTGGCTGTTCACTGTCAAGAAGTTCTGGTTTTCCTGCGATTTCTGGGGCATCTTCTCGATTTCCGTCTCAGTTTTGGGTATTTCAGCTGTAAGGGCATCACGTACTCTTCCTAGTGGCCTTTTCCAGTAGTGCCTTTACTTCTTCTAGATCTTTCTGTAGCTCTTCCAGAGTTGAAGCTATGGTCTCGGTGAGCACTGACCGCCCAAGCTGCAGCCACACAGGAAAGGGGACACCGCAGAGCGTGCTCACTCCAGTGCAGCGCCGCCAGACAGAGAGGGATTAAATGGCCAATGGAGTTTGAAGGCCGGGTCACCTGACTCCTAGGCCAGGACCCTGCTCATTGCCCATATTCACATAATACAAGCCAGGCTGCTGTAAGTGAAAACATGCCCAGCGAATGTCACTGGGCACCTCCAACACAGTGACCCGTCCCAGAACAGAGCCCTGTGCTGACAGCACACACAAAGCCCGGGCCTGCACGAGCCCCACGTTTGCTCCCCGGCCACTGCACTACCTGCACGAGCTGCTCCGTGTGCTGGTGGAGCTCCTCCAGAATCGGGAGTGTCTGGTCAGGAAGACAATGCTCCAGGATCCTCTGAATCACTCTGCAGCCGTAGGGGTGTGTGGACAAGGCAAACACCTAGGGCAGACAGACACAGACAGAGAGTCCAGGAGGAACAGGGCCCACTTCAGAGCTGCATCACCCTGATCGTAAGTCAACTCCACTGCACGTGGGTTCTCTCTACAAATAGTAAGAGCTGTGTATGCATGCTGTGTAGTACACGTCTTTCTAAACTAGTTTAGGAATGCAGAGATGTGCATACACTCCGAGCTAACCAGGACTTCTCTGGGGATCAGCAGGTGGTATGGTTAAGGCACTCAACCCCACAAGGCCAACTAATGAAGTTGGAATCTCAGACATGGTGGCCTGAAAAGACAACCGGGCACAGGTGCATGTGTGCCCAAAATACCAAGAAAGAATGGGAAAGGGACCGTGGCATGGCCAACCCGGGGGGACGCTTCCTCATTTCCTCTCTATCTGTCTCCAGCGAGTGTATGTGCCCTGCGCACAAAACTAAAGTTCCTCATATGGCTACTGATGACCATATTTTTTCTGTGGCATGCAGATTCGTGCCCAGTGCCCATGTTTTTTAAGTTCATTTCTTTGCCATGAAAGAGTGAGGGAGAGACATGGCAACCCCGACAGCGTCTGGATACCAGGACGCACCCCGGCATCAGCCAGCAGGGACCATGCATGTGAGCGCCCAGCACACTCGAGGAACACTGTGGACAGACTGCAGCCTTCCCACTGCCAGCCTTGCACGGTGCTATGTGCCATGCCCAAGTGCACCCCAGAGGGTCTGCATCAATTCTGGTTGCCAACTCTTACACACACACACACTCATACACTCACAAACACACACACTCATACACTCACACACACACACACACACCCCCACTGTGTCGTGATCTTCCTGCCTCAGCACCCCAAGTGGCTGGGAAAGCTGGGCTCAAATCCTCAATGCCTTCACTGTAGTCCATTGACCTGTGGCACACGCCACCACACCCAGCTTTTGGCACAGCTCAGGATTGAAACCCTCTCTCTCCTTTGGCCTCAGCTTGTCAGGTGGCACCATGAGCCAGCATGCGTGACTTCAGCTTGGCCAGGCCATCAACTCTTTTTTCATCTTGAAAAGATTCCCTATTTAGTGGCTTCATTATTCTAGATTTTTTTGTTGTATATTTTGATAAATATAAGATCTTAGTTGTTTTCTTTTTTTAATCTAGCTTTAAGAAAGATTTTTTTTTTTTGGAGGGGGGAGATTCTTGCTATAGGGCACGTGCGCTCACCAGAAAGACAGAGACAGAAAGGGAGAAATCACCCACCAGGGGGGATGGCCACACTGCAATCCCTTCTCCTTCATTCTCCTCTTGGGATCTTAGGCACACACACACACACGCGCCCGGGTGAGTTTAAGCCGCCGGGTCTGGGACTCGAACAGCGGGCGACTACATGGGAGTCCAGCGACAGCCATTACAACAACTTCTGGTCCCCAAGATCTTTTTTTCTTTAATTTGCTATAGAGCATGTACACCTGAGACAAGAGAGCAGAAAGAGGAAGGCCCCCCCCCCCAAGTGGGTGGCCGCACCTCGATCCCTTCTCCACTTTCCTCTCAGGGTTTTGGGCAAGCACACACATGCACCTGGCATGTTTTTCACACTGCTAGGTCTGGGGCTCGAACTGCGTAGTTGGTCCACAGGGGCTCTAGCTGCCTTAACCGCCATGCCATCGGCTGGCCCCAAGACTTAGTTAATTTTAAAGTAAGCAGGCCTACCTTTCCGGTTTCTGGCTGCGCTCTACTGAACTGACCACGGTGGGAAAGCCGCAAACCTAAGTCCCACTCCGATCTAGGCTTAGCAATGCACACGCTGCACCTGGGTCTACTTGGTCTCTCACATTGTCCCCCTTTTCTAAAAAACAAAAAGATGAGTTTCGTACCGCCAACAGGAGACGGTGGTTCTGCTCTCCGCCCCCACCCACTCCAGGAGGGTACGGGAGTGCTGGCTCTTGGCAAAAGAAATGAAACGTGAAAGCCAATTCCGAGCACTTCTGGAAAAACCAAGGTAACAGAGAGTAACGGGCTGGGCAACCATACGGCAGCGAAGCTTAACGTTCTCTGCCATGGCCAGGAGGGAAGGTGCCAGGTCTGCACCAAGACCTGAGCGTGCCAGGCCTGCGTGCGCCAGGGATCCTGGGGAGGAGATGGGCGTCGGACCCTGTTAGGGTGGCATCTCTGTCCTCCTCTCAAGCACGAGGAAAAAATACATAACTAAAACTTTTTGTAAAGTAGCAGCTCTGCTTGGACACTGGGCTAAGAACAGACTGCTGACATGCAGGTCAACAGAGGAATGAGAGGCCGCCTCACATGACACTGCCATTGAATGCAGTTCAAGCCAGCATGCATCTGCACCCCGAAATGTATGAGTAAGCAGCACCTTGCTATTTTAAAGATAAACTCACACATGGCCTGTGAGATTAGCTCTGTACATGGCATGACTGTTATTTTTTTTCTTTTTAGGGTTTTGCCACAGGGTGGGTGCACTTAGCAGAGAGACAGAGCAGGAAGGAAAGTGAGAAATCATGCCCAGAGGGGATGGTCATGCCAAAATCCCTTCTCTAGACTCCTCTTGGCATTTTAGGAACATACGCACATCAAGCTGCCAGATCCAGGATTCAAACCATGGTCATCCATGTGAGAGTCCAGAACCCGAACCATCATGCCACCTGCTGGCCCAGGACTTGAATTTCTTTATAAAATGTATTACCTTGTATTGTAACTTCTGATTTACATTAAAATACTGTACATATCTGTGGAGTACAGTATACTTTTCCAAAGCATGCAAACAATGTGTGATAACCGAGGATATAAACATATTCATCATTATCAACAAAGAATATTACATTAATTTGTGCACCTTTAATCATTACTATAATAGGTTTTGTTTTTGCTTTTGTTTTTGTTCTTTTGGAGAGGTTTTTGCTATAGGGTACGTGCGCTCACCAGAAAGACAGAGACAGACAGAAAGCAAGAAATCACCCCTGGGGGGATGGCCACGCCGCAATCCCTTCTCCTCCATTCTCATCTCGGGATCTTGGGCACGCACGCACACGCGCCAGGCATGAGTTTAAGCCACCGGGTCTGGGACTCAAAGCGCGGTCAACTACATGGGAATTCAGCGACGTACCAGAGACGCTAACTGCTGATCCCTGCACTAGTTTTTTTTCTCTCTTTTTGGAGGTATATGTTCGGCTGGCAATGCATGACTTCAATTTTAAGAAGCAACAGAAGCTTTAAAGTACCAGGGCACACTGACACACGAGCAAGCACTAGCCCTAACCCTAAGCAGGAGCTTCGGCTTTTACACTTGGCTTGCTCTCTGTCACTGGGATAGTCATCCAAACCTGCTAACAGACCCATCTCCCCATCTCTCTGGCCTTCACAGCAGGGAAGCTAGCTGAGCTCTCTGGCCCTGCCTTCTGGGGAGGGTGCAGAGCACAGCAGTGCGGCAAGTGCTGCCAGGTGTCCTGGCAGCAGCAGTGGCACCCTGGGCGGTGGACTGAGGTGCAGAGGAAGTGACGTCTACAGCTGCGGAAATGTGAGAAACCACCTCCTCAGATCCCCAAAACTCCCATCTGCAAGCTGCTCGCTGACAGTAACGTGTCAAACCCTCTAGGGGACTGTCGGGCCAGTCCCAGAGCACCGGCCAAGACGAGGGGCCTGCACTAATGGTGGTGATAAGGCCACGGCACCCAGGACAGAGACTGGGCAGGAGAGGGGTGTGGGCGCCACTGTGCAGAGCCGCTCCCCGCGGCAGAGTGCAAAGCGCAGAGCACACGGGCACGCAGAGCACAAGGGGCACACTCCAGGAGCCCTACCCCGCTCCTGCACATGGTGAGAACACCCGCCCACCGGCTGCCCGCTTTCCCTCAGTCACTCACCTGCCCTTTAAACGCATCGATGATGAACTGCAGAGACTGTGGCTGCACGCACTCGATGCACTTCTGGACCACGTGATTGCCGTTCTGGTCCTTCACACACTTCAGAACGTGGCCGTCCAGTTCCCGGACCATCTCACTCTATTGGAGATGCAGGAAGAGAGCACCACCACAGTCACCACGGGTGGACACCGGGGCAGCAGCCTTCTGACCAGGCAGCGAGTGCTAAACGAGCCATCTGTGACGGCACACGTGGGGCAGCCCAACTGTGACACGGACACAGTGACAACAGGGGAACTGGAGTCCCGGGTGGCAGCCAACTCACAGTGACCTTCCTCTACCAAGAACCGATGGCACAGTACCCGAAAAGATCTTAACTCTCGAAAACAGCTCCTGGCGGTTTAACTGATATCTTCCAATTCAAAGGACCATGTATCAACTACACCGTGTTAAAAACTTCACATACAATTCACATACATATGCTCTAACTCACTGAATCTGCCTCACGAGCCTGTGCATGGAGCACTGCTACGGAGAGGGGCCAGCCGTGGAGGCACAGCCCCAGGGGGCTCTTCGAGAGTGCTCCAAGATTTATCGATCTTTCCTATCTAGCAAGCTAGCTACTAATTTGGAAAGGTTTTTCTATAGGGCACGTGTGCTCGCCAGAAAGACAGAGAGAGACAGAAAGCAAGAAATCACCCCCCAGGGGGTATGGCCACACCGCAATCCCTTCTCTTCTCAGGATCTTGGGCATGCACAAGCGCCTGGCCTGAGTTTAAGCCTCCAGGTGCAAGCTTTGAACCACAGTCGACTATGCAGGAGTCCAGCGACATAGCCATTACACCAACTAGTGGTCCCAAGATTTATCTTTCTTATCATCACACATCAGAAAAAGATACTTAGGTGGAAACAGAACAACAGGAATGAAGAGGAGATGGCCTCGCTGGGTAGCTTCTTAATCCAAAATAGGGAACACTTCCATCAAAGGTGAGTTACCTCACCTCAAACCATAAACGTGCACCCAGAACACAGTAAAGGACTGTGGGGCACGTGTGCTCAGACCCCAAGCAAGACAGCACGGACAAAACAGGAGGAGGTACGGCGAGACATGAAACACCAGGCTGGGAGGGAGGTCCGGGAGGACAGCCACTACCAGAACGCAAGCACCGATTAGAGAACGCAAAGCAGTGCAGTGTGGACAGCTGGAAACAAGAATCAATGACGGGCCATTTCTTTTTTCGAGAGGTGTTTGCTATAGGGCACGTGCGCTCACCAGAGAGAGAGAGACAGAGAGACAGAAAGCGAGAAATCACCCCCCAGGAGAGATGGCCACGCTGCAATCCCTTCTCCTCCATTCTCCTCTCGGGATCTTGGGCATGCACGCACACATGCCCGGCGTGAGTTTAAGCCACCAGGTCCAGGACTCGAACCACGGTCAACTACGTGGGAGTCCAGCAACAGAGCCATTACACCAACTGCTGGTTCCACTTGCCATGTTTATAGGCTATGGCTGAGACGGGAAAGTACAGTAGACACTATCACACTTCTGCTTTCTTTCAACAAAGTGGGCATTATGCTCAAGAACAAGAAAGAAAATTCGACTGTCAAATGACACAGAAGAGGAAAGATTTCACTATTCATAAAAACACAAGGAGAAACTAAAATTGGTCATGAGCCAACCATGAGATGTAACTAATGGCCTCGCGCACACTTCCAAATACAGACGCTTCCTGGCCAATGTTGTGCCCCTCCTCCTGAGCACAGGAACCCGAACGTGCTGCCCTCCCCAATGTCCCCCTGGCCTTCCCCAGCACTTCAGCGTGCCATCGGGTCAGCCCACAACTTGAGGACACTGGGCTGCCACAGCGGTGGCCGCCACCGCCAACAGCGATGCAGTGCTTTGGCGCGGTCTGCTCCTCGATTCACAGGGGCGCCTGGGCTCGGAGCCCAAAGGCTGATGGTTCGCCTCCGGAGCACCCCGAGGCCCACGGCACTCCTGGCACGGACACAGCGACAGCAAACCCTGCTGTGCCCTGCTCTGTCTCCGGGCGCTGTGGCCTGTGCGCTGCTGGCTGGACCCGCTCCCTGACTGCTCCAAGCTGTGGGGCTCCTGCAGGGGACTGCTGTGTGCTCCCCCTCACAGCACCTGGCTGTCCAGGTCTCTGCCCCGCTTCTCCCAGCTGACTCCTCATCAGGCTTGCCTTCTGTAAACCTTTCTCAGCCACTCCGGGCAGGGTGAGGGGCCCCTCACGTGCTCACACCTGCCGTCCACGGTGCTTCCCCACCAGACGGCGCTCTGCGGGCAGAGATCAGGCCCGAGCCACCTCTGCGCTGCTGGCGCCTGGCACAGAGCGGGCTTCAGGTCAACTGCCAGGCCCTGCACTGCACTGCGCCTGGACCCAGAGGGGTCGAGTCAGTACGTGTTGGTGGAGCAGATGAACGAGAGGGAGAACGCGAAGGTGGACGGAATGAAGGTTTTGTTTGTTGGGATGTTCAGTTCAGCTTAGGAAAATGACGTTTTAGCATTTTACCTCCTTCGAGTCATGGGAAGCCAAAAACCTCCTTCTAAATCCCATATACTTAAGCTAAGTTCTGGTTGGAGGGGAGTGGGTAGGAAACCTGGCTTTAACCAAAGACACTTTTCCAAAAGCACCTGTACAGTTCACACACGCCATGCACAGGACAGCCACAAACACCACACTGAACTTTAAACACACTGAACACTGAAAGCATTACAGGGTTCACTAGATGCACCATGGAAACACCGAACACCAAGAGAAGAGTTAAAGGGGAAACTTACAATTACCTGCTGGTCTGAGGGAATAAATTCAAGTGCTTTCTGGATAACACGGCAGCCGTACATCTGTAGAGCCAAGGAGAGGACGTGGCCTCGAATCCGTTCTGCCAGGGCCAGCTGCTGCTCGAGGCTGCCAAACTGGACACAGTGGTGAGTTCTCAGGGCAGGGCAGAGCGCCATCACTGGGCCTCAACCATGGGAACAGCCTGCTGGGGCCCAGCCGCCCACGTTTAGCAAACCCTCCTGTGTGAGAGCCTAGGCGCTTCCCGCCAGGATTTCTCAGCTTGGAACATGAAGAGGCTTCGCAATGTGAGAGAATCTCCTCAACATCTGACAGTAGTGGCTCTACTATGAGCAACTGGTAAACAAACGTCAATTCCTCAAAACTGCCATTAACTCACTAGTCCTTCGACAGGAAGCTGCTCTCCAAGATTCCAGGGTGTTTACATCGGCTCTGACATGACGTACACCCACGGGCGAGTTTAGGCTCTGAACAATGTGGGGGGGCATATCATAACTTGAATGTCCGAGCCACAGGTTGGGAGGTCCCCCTGCCTACATGACATGTGAGCTCTGCACACGTGGACCAGGAGGGAGGGAGAGGGAGGTGCTCAGAGAGCCAGGACTCTGTTTTCATTTGAGTAGCACGATCTTGAGGCTGGGAGGCTTTAGGAAGGATCGACATTTCCGACCCCGCATTTTCCACACACAGACATTTTCCAGGGACATTCCTAGCCTACCCTAAATCACACGGCTATAATCCAGCAGAGGTCCTGTCGCCCCAAGCTCCATCTGCCCCAGAGCTCAAGGTCTCTGTGTCTGTGCACCTGTGACCAAATGGCAGTGCAAAGGCGTTCTAAATCAAACCACGGTAGTTATGTTCAGATGGTCGTCTTAGCCAGAAAAGGAGAGTTCGGCATCAAAGATCAATCTTCAAGGGGAAGGTTGGAAAGATAAACGCTGGACTCTCACATGGCCGCAGTTCAAGTCCCAGCCCCAGTGGCTCGAAAATCACACCAGGTGTGTATGCGTGTGTGCCCAAGATCCCAGGAGGAGAAAGGAGAAGGGACTGTGGAATGGCCATCCCCCTGGGAGGTAGTTTCTCACTTTCCCTCTCACTCTCTCTCTCTCTCTCTCTCTCCGGAAAGCACATGTGCCTTATGGAAAAAAAAACTCTGGGGGGGAAAAAAAGCTCATGAAAACCAAGATGTCCTGGAGAATCTACAGGGCCAGGACAGGGGCAAAGGCTCACCTCAAAGAACTTCTGGATGACGTAGTTCCCAAACACATCCACCATGAGCTGGTAAGCAGCCTGCAGGATCTCACTGAAGACGAGCTGGCGCTCAGCGGCCGTGGCTCGCTCCAGTTTCAGCTGAATGAATCTGAAGGAAATATAAGAACAGGCAGTCGGAGGGGGCCACAGAAACTCGACTCAGGCCACGTGCCAGTCCTCGAACTGCGCATCAGTGGGCACTTGCACAGACACACACAGGAAATTAAGCATTATTTAACTAAATAACCCACTTGGGGCTGGCCCCATAGTGCACTGGTTGACGGAGCTCAATCCCACATGGCTAAGCGGGGCTCACGTTCTAGTCCTGGTGGCTCGAAAAACACACTAAGCCCACGTACCTGCAAGCCCCACATCCCAATAGCACAAAGAAATGGAGAAGAAGAGATTGCGGTGTAATCACACCCCACTGTAGAGGGAGTGCTTTCACACACACACACCGTCCCCCGCATATATGCTCTATAGTCATAAAAAGACATAAATAAATAAACCACTTAAGTGAAAAACTTAAAGGAATTTCTGAAAAAGGTAAAAATAAATGTATAGCATGTAGTGACTCCGCAATAAAGCTATGTTTTTAAAAGCAGACTTAGGGGGGGTCAGCAGGCAGCATGGTAGTTAAGGCACTGAACTCCCCACATGACTGACTGCGGTTCAAGTCCCAGAGCAGGAGGCTTGTTTTCTCACTTTCTCTTCTCTCTCTCTCTGTCCCTCTGCTCAAAATGAAAATAATGACGATAATAATAATAATAAATAGATAATTTTTTAAAGCATATTTGGGTTCCAGCCTGGTGGCATGGTCAGTAGCAAACTGAGTGTAGTGCTAGAAGTCCCACCGCCAGCTGCAGGTTCAGACCGCTGGCTGCCTGACAACGTGCCAGGTGTGTGCACACTGGCCTGAGGTCCTGATGACCTGGAGGGCTGGGGCAGGGATCACAGCACGATGAGGCCTTGCTGGAGGGGCTTCTCACTCTGGTGCACACACATGCTCTATTTATAATGAACTCTCTTAAATACATATTTAGGTTTCAGCGTATGTCGTTATAATAGGGCCAACATTCAGCATGTGTTTCTGTGTAGGGCGGTAGGCAAGGCCAGAGGGGAGCAGGGTGTGCCTACGGCACAGCACAGGTGAGCTTCTCTGCCAGGGTCCTTCTCACGCAACCACTCTCAGACTAAGCACCCCAAGCGTAGGGTTCACACTCTCCTCTTAGCTAGTGCTCACACCAAGCCATGCTCGCTACCATCTGGAGCAGCACCGACTGCTCTGCCTCACTTTCGTTCAGGGGACTGTACCAGGAAAACCACATTTTCTCTGCATCTGGCATGTAGGGTCCAAACTGACAAATCCCTGCCCAGAACCAAGCTGACAGAACTTACAGAGTAGGAAGGTTTTTCAGACGCTGTTTCATTGGACATCATCAGAAAGAAAGGAACTGAGAGAGAAACGAGGAAGGAGGATGGGTGATGTCATCTAACTGTGCCTCCCCCTAGCGGAAGAGGAAGGGAGGGCACCACGCCAAACTCGGTAACACTTCCCCTCTCACTTCTGCGCACACTCGCACCTCACAGGGCACCACAAACAACAGTGGTAGTGCGTCCTTCTTTCAAGCACCCGAGATCCAAGCTGAGGTATTAACAGAGGCTTTTTGAGAGCAAGACCCTGTGTAATGCTTCAAGTAGCGAAGTGTGTTCATGCCTTTGTGTTACAGTTTCTGTCTCTTTCTTTGCTTTTTAGGTTTGGGTCATAGGGCACATGCACTTGCCAGAGAGACGGAGAGACAGAAAGTGAGAAATCATCCCCAAGGGAGATGGCCACGCCACAGTCCCTTCTACTCCACTCTCCTCTCAGGATTTTGGGCATGCATGCACACCCACTGGGTCCAGGATTTGAACCCCAGTTGGCCATGTGAGAATCCAGCACCTTAACCACCATGCCACCTCCTGAGCCAGTTCCTGTTTCTTAAATTGTAGGCTCTCTTTTTTTCCCACTAGATTCATTCTACAGATATTTAGATTAAAATAGTGTGTCTGGCTCCATATAAACTGTAGACTTTTCAGAGATTCTTGCAAACCAGAAATACCAGGCTACAGGTCCAGAGAGACAGAAGGGCTATTGTAAGCATGTGATCCAGGCGACTGGAGGCACTTTCCAAGCCCCGGCTCCGTTAGGGACCCTCATACCCATGCTCTGAAATGAATACTGGAAGCATACCAAGAGGTGTGCTTACTGAGGTTATCTTATCGCAACTTATGATGATTAGCTTTCCAATGCCAGAGGGTGCATGTGCTGGCTAGAGAGAGGCACGCGTGCACACACAGCACCTCTCAGTGGGGCAAGGTCATGCTATAGCCTGGTTTTCCATCCCAGGAGGTCCCTGGGCCCACCCAAACACAGACCCTGCAGGTTTTTCAAGGTGCCGGTGCCAGGACTTGAACTGCAGTCGGACATGTGGGATCTGGCTCCCTGTGCTCCAGGGCCAGGCCCGGGCCCGCTGACGTCAACATACACCTGTTGGAGGCATCAAGAGCTCGGGTAACGGTGCACAGGCCAAGCCCAGCCCTCACCTGGAACCATGCTGGTCTTGGGAAAACTCCATGATATGTCCAGCGATCTCACGTAGCTGTAAATTGGGGTACCGGTTATTTCGAAAATCTTCCAAAAGTCTGCTCCTGCCAGAGGGCATGACATCGGACATCCCATACCGCAGCCGCGAGGAGGAGAACAGGGTGCTGCTGGGGCTGAAGAGGCTGGAGGCGCTGCTCGCACTGCGGAACTTGGCCTCGGCGCCCGGAGCGGCAGAGATGTACCGCCCACTGCCGTTGGTGAGTCCTCCTGTGGGGGACAGGACAGAGCCACTTAGGACAGTCCTTAAGGACAGCCAGAGAGGGAGCGCCATCCTGCACAGAAGCCCACATCAATGCTGGTTTCTTCCGTTCTGCTCTTTGCTTAGACTCGATTCTATGAGCACTGAGACTTGCATAAGGCCGCCGCAGCAAGCCTGGAGGGAAGCCTGCGCTAGGGAGCACAGACCGCGACTAAGCGTGAAGCAGCAAGCGGCGGGCGCCCAGGGGAGCGAGAGTGCGCCGGCCACACGCACCCAGCAGCTGAGTGCCACCGCCAACCTCCCAGGGAACGACACACACCCAGGCCTCGGCGGTTTCCACGTCCAGCTCTAGGGAGTTCCTGAATAACTCTCACCCCTATCTGCGCCCTCTCTGAAAAAACACCAAGATGTCCCGACTAGTCTGCACTACAGTCTGAGAACGCTTCCTCTGAGTGAATGTTCGCACTGCAGAGCTGAGTCTGTAAACATCACCAGGACGTGCTGGGTAGGGGCTAACTAAGGGAAGAAGAGAAGCACGTGGGAACAAGGTGTGCAAGTCCCCATCACACGCGGGCAGCTCTGGACAACCGCAGCTGACCCCTGTGCAGGGAGAAATGCCAGTCCTGCGACAGACACGGCATAAGAGGAGAATGCGCGGCGTAATGCAGTATGTTGACGTACGTTTTTAATAACAGTCTTTACAACGGGTCTCCTGTTTTCAACTCTTGATTGCAGAACTATACAAAAGGGTATAAAGTCTTGGGAACCAGCAGTTAGCGTAATGGCTATGTCGCTGGACTCCCACGTAGTCGACCACGGTTCGTGTCCTGGACCTGGTGGCTTAAAACTCATGCCGGGCGCATGTGCGTGCGTGCCCAAGATCCCGAGAGGAGAATGGAGGAGAAGGGATTGCGGCGTGACCATCCCCCCTGGGGGGTGATTTCTCGCTTTCTGTCTCTATGTCTCTCTCTGTCTGTCTGGCGAGCGCACGCGCCCTACAGTGAAAATCTCTCTAAAAAAAA